TGGTACTAAAAAAAGTACCAGGTACCAGGTACTGTACCCAGTGGAAAACCCCCCAAAACTGAACCATACCGAGCCGTACCGTGCCTTACCATGCAGTGGAAAAGCGCCATTAGAGAGCACTGAGGGCCGGCATCAGGTGAGCAAGCTAGTGAAACGTTGCACGTGCAAAAGAGAAGGTCTGCACACATCCAAAAACTTATTTTAAATGCAAAATTGATTTTCGTGCGCTCGAAATACTTTCTTCTTTGCGAGACAAACATTTTCTCCACAAAACTCAGATCACGCGCGTGCAAAACGCACTTTGCGCGCTCAAAATATGATCTTTCGCCCGCAGAATTGTGGCAGAGATGTAATCCCATAAGAGCCTTGCACCGCCACGAGGGGGCCCGATGCAGTAACACAGGAGCATCAGCAGTCCAAAAAAAAAAAGAGCTTCACAGGACAGGCGGGAGTGCGCAGTGTCGCGAACGCGCACTCACTCACCCACAGAGACAGACTGCGATTGGAAGTGCGAGGCGGTCAGATCGTGTGTTGTGTGTTGCTGCCGCGCAGTATCTTTTCAGGCAAGTACCGAGGACTGCAAGGGAAAAGTTTATTTCAAAGAGTCTCCAACTAAGGGGCATGGCCGCTCCCAGATCCCCCTGAACGCCAGGTCAGTATGAGCAGGTTCTGCGTTCATTCCTATGCTTCAAATGCGCATTGTTGCAGATATAAAGAGGTGCATTGTTGGGACCGTTGGGACTGATTGTTGCACAGCGGTTTGCTACCCTGCGGCCAACCACGAAAGCCGCTTTGGGGATCCGTGGTCGGGGAACCTGCTATCGTGCTGCGGCAAAATGCACCCATCGGGTTTTTAAATTACAGCCATGTGTTTCAACACGCAGTTCCCTCGCATTGAGACCCAAGCTAATTTTGATCTAGTTATGATGTGATTTAGATGGTTTAGGCTTAGACTTGTGTTTATAATATGTGCTTTGTTTTGATTAAACGTTGACTTGGCTTGTGAGTAATAAGCTGTCATCAGTCAAAACGGCGCAAACGCTTCATCAAAGTTATTATGGGTAGAGAATTACGGTAGTATCTGCATTTGGCATGTTGTTTATTTTTCCCTTCGAAAACAATTTGTAGGCATTATTGTGATGACACATCATTAGTTTCAGCGAGCTGCAATTAAGCACAGTAAACATTTCTTGGCCAGAACTGTTGGTTTGTACTTCTGTATTTTGTTTGAAAGTTTATGGGCCGAACCGACCCTTCCCCCTTTCTTCTCCTGGCCTCGCTGTCTCCTTCGTCCGGGGAGGGACTGCACTGGCGACCGTGATGAGTGAGCAGTGCCGCCGCTACCCAAACAAAGGCGGGTTACCAGGGGAAACGGGGCTCTCTAGTTCTGGACTGGGTCGCTGGGGGGAATAGTGTCGGCTCATCTGCATCAGTCTTGAATGAACCGCTGGAACAAAGACAGATACTATTTGACGTGTGAGAACCTGACGGCTGAAAATCACTTCGTATCCCGCCTGCAAGGTCACTTTGTGTTCACGGCTGCTAAGTGGCTCAGTAGATTAGACAAACAAACCCGTTTTGTGCTGGCTGGCTGTGTTCACCCTTGGTGTTTGTTTGTCGAAAGGAGAAAACAGTTTAATCAGAAAGGGAGCCAGTCAGAAAGATGAATGACAAAGAGCCATTTCTGAGCATCAAGTCATTACAAGGCACATACAAGACACTTTTTAAGCAACAGCTGTTCAAAATCCATGTTTTGTTGTTGTTGTTGTTGTGGTGTGAGACCTGTCAGATTTGTTTGATAAACTATAGTTTAACATAAAATTATCATGAACTAGCATGAAAAGTGGCTAATTTTTAAACAACAAATATTTGAACCCCCTTAAAGGGGTCATATGATGCTATTTCAATTGTTCCTTTCTCTTTGAAGTGTTACAAGCTCTTGGTGCATAAAGAAGATCTGTAAAGTTGCAAAGACTAAAGTCTCAAATTCAAAGAGATATTCTTTATAAAAGTGAAGAGTCAACCACGCCTACCTAAAACGGCTCGTTCTAACACGCCCCCACATACCTACGTCACGATCTGGGAAGATTTGCATAACGCCGCCCAAATATTCACGCAAAGAAAGAAGGCGTAACTTATTCTCGCTGTATTATTGTTGCTGCCGCCGCCGCCATGTTGTGGAGATGCTGTGTGTTTCGTTATGAAAGCGAAACTACTTTGTTTGGTCTTCCAAAAGAGAACGATATCCGCTTCGTCATGCCTAGAACTGATCCGTGCTGGTCGCTGAGGGAATACATCAAATAATTAATTTCCATAGAGTTGTATTTATTTAGATGTTTATTAGCGAAATAATGGTTATATAGTAAATGTTAATACAATTTAGGGTGTTTTAAACAAGTGAATCTTGTTAAAAGTTGCATGCGGTGGCCGTGCTGGAGCATTTCCTGAGCATCAACCGCATCAACCCGGTGAGTGAACAGCAATATGAAAGCGGCTTCACGAGACTAATGATGAGCAAATATACAACAGAGAGAGAATTAAATTCAGCGCTTTTATTTCCAACATGCGCTCATTCATGGCTGTATTATTTAACTCATGCAAAGTTACGTCTTTATTGGGAGAGGATCTTGACGGATTATCTACGTGACTCCGACTTCACGAGACTAACGATGAGCATGGACAACAGAGAGAGAATTTAATTCAGCGCTTTTATTTCCAACATGCGCTCATGGCTGCATATTATTTAATTCAGGCAAAGTTTCTTCTTTATTGGGACATGACTTGATGGATTATCTTACATGACTCCGTGAGTTGGTCTCTATTTCTTAGAGCCAAGCTGCATAAACTACATATCAGGCATTTATGTAATGCATCTAATTAGTGCATAAATGGCTGTTATGGTAAATAAAGTTTACTAACTACAGCAAATCAAGTACCTGCACTGTCGTTTTTGTTGTCTCCTCTCCCCTCAGACACGTTGCAATGGCGATCCTGCGCGCAATTCTCAAAACGCCCACAAGATGGCGGCGTTTATCGGTGAATCCGATATTACAAAACTGATATCC